TGATCACATTCTAGACTGAGAACAATTTGACTTAAACATCATTTAAGCCTAAACAGGGTCTGGGCCTTTGGAATCAGTGTTTTTCACCTCCCCTCTGCCCATTGTACAAAGGAGTCTGATGCCATGTGCTTAATTTCAAAAGCCTCGCATGAAGTTCGTCTTGTTACATGGTGATCACATCAAAACAGAAAGGTCTACATGATGTGATTTACACTTTTGGAATTTGTTAAAGATTATTTTATATGATACTCTGGCATTATTAGCTTTTATGAAATCTTAAAATTTTTTCTCCTTGATTTGTTAATATTTGGGTTTATAATTTCTCATAGTTGTGCAGCTAGTGGCTGTGACCAAAAATTCAACACAAAATCAAACTTGAAGAAACATTTTGAACACAAACACGAAAATCAACAAAAACAATATGTGGTAAGTAAGAATGATATTCTATGCTTAAATTCTCTGAATATTTTTATGTTTATTGTCTGTTTCTAAAAGTTTCATCAACCAAATTTTGTCTGTCAAATATCTTTATTTTGAAAGCAAACATTATTGTGCTAATTAAAGTATGTTATTGGTAGATTACCCCAAATGAAAACTATCTGTCTTTAAAGTTTCTTGACAAAGCATTTTACCGTAACTAAATGGGTGAAAGTAGCAAGTTTATAATCACAGTATTTTTATCTTGAGAATTGTTATGAACTGTTCTTGGATGTTTTTCAAGACTAACAAACCTTTACTGAACAGTGCACTTTTGAAGGCTGTGAGAAGACCTTTAGGAAGCATCAGCAACTGAAAACCCATCAGTGCCAGCACACCAACGAACCACTGTTCAAGTAGGTACTGTCCCGGGAGAAATCCACATCGCAGATTTCAGGGAGTAAACTGAAGTGCAAAGGTTGGGTACAAATGTTCTGAAACAGTTTATTAATCAGTATTTTTCTGTTGCCTTGTATAGTATACGCCCCTTTATATTTTGTACTATTCCAAAAGTTCAATTTTGCTTGTTTCTCTAAAAGAAATATTTAATATGCTTCAGAATACTTTGTAAGATTAGTACAATTGTGTTTAAGCTTGAAGGGAAGATTAATAAACGACTTAGCAAATAGAGCCTGGTCAGTAATATGACATGTCATTATGAAGACCCTAGCTATTCTTTACCTAAAAAACAAAAGCAGCGCTTAGCCTGCATTAGAGAGGGTTTCATGAGGAACAGGAAAAGGTGACAGGAAACATTAGATGTGCCCAGGGCATCGAGGGATCCCCCTGCCTGCACAGATGTCACTCTTGAAGAGCACGGACTGCGGCACTGCCGTGCTGGCGGAGCCTTCCTCCGCTCACACAGGCTGCCCTTCGCCTGGGAGCTGCCGCCGGGACAGTGCGTGCAGGCCTGCTGCTGCCGCCGCCGCCGCTGCTGGCGGCAGTAACGCCGAATTGGCATGTCCTTCTCATTGCTCACCAGAGCTGTGAAGCTACTGCTGTTTTCTTTTCACGCCATTCCCATGCAGCCTTGTTGGAAAAACTAGATAGAAGTGACTTAGAATTATTTAAATGTTGACCCAAGCCATCTTTTTTGTAACCATGAAAACATGGAGTATGTTTTCAGAAGTATAAAAAGTGTTTAATTTGAGCGCTAGCCGGTTTGGCTTAGTGGGTGAAGCATCGGCCTGAGGACTGAAGGGTCCTGGGTTCCATTCCGGTCAAGAGCCGATGCCCGGGTTGCAGGATTGATCCCCAGTAAGGGGTGTGCAGGAGGCAGCCAATCAGTGATTCTCATCATTGATGTTTCTAGCTCTCCCTCTTCCTTCCTCACTAAAATCAATAAGAAAAACATTTTTAAAAAGTGTCTAATTTGACACTTAATAAGCTAAAAAATGTAATGTGACATTTTTCTCTGTTTTGCTCCAAGTTTGGTCAGGTAATTTGAATTGTACTATGATAAGGTCTCTTATTTATATGACTGGTTTGGTTGTGGGGAGAGAAGACAAAGTACTATTGACTCTAAGTGGAGCTCTCTATGAAACGGACTGGCTGATGCCTCATGTCTTGTTAACGCAGGTGCACCCAGGAAGGCTGCGGGAAGCACTTCGCTTCGCCCAGCAGGCTGAAGCGACATGGGAAGGTCCATGAGGGTGCGTACGTGGGCCCTTGTCGTGTTCACTTTCCTAATACGCCAGCCATATGGTGTGTGTGTGTAAGTCTTTGAGTACTTGCTGCTTTCTGCTCTATTCCATGATCATACTGAGCAACTTGGAACTAGGCGGGGCACCACTCTGCTTGTTCAGGTTTTAACTCTTGACCAAAGGTACTGTGTGCCGTGTCCATTCTTCCACTCCGCTGCCATTTTCAAAGTCCACATTGTATTGTTCACATTGTATTGTGCTGTGTCTTGTGATAAGCAGGTGCTCCTGCCAAGGCGTGGCTTCTTCACAGTAGTCTTTAACCCCTTCTACTTACTTCCTGTGTCATTCTTCTCCTAAGAGCGCTCAAACGGTTTAGAAAATAGTTTGGAGTTTTCAGAGCAATCAGATTGAAACTTTAAGACTTGATTAAACTGACTACTTCACTCTATATTTCCATATAGGATTTTGATATCTATACTCCAACTGTCAAGCCCTAGACTTTGTGTTGTTTTTGTTTTGTTTTTTTAACCAGAGGCTAGTAGCTAAGAGTGACAGGTAGTCTTATTCTTTGTTTCTATCTGGAATTTAGTTGGGTAAAACTCAGGCTGACTGTTACATTGACTGATTAATCTAATTCTAGTGCTTTATGAAATGTCAGTTTTTGTTCATAGTCTTTGTTGCTGGTTATTCTAGTTTATTTTCTTACTTAGCTGTACCCTGCTTCTTTTTTGCTATATGAAACTTACAAGATGGTAAGACTAGAGGAAGCCAGGGGTGGGCGTGTAACTGCTGAGATCTAGTGTTGGTGCTTTGCCAAGGACAAAGGATCTCCTTTTCTGCTAAGGAGAAAGAGGCTACCATAGGCAGGGCGGGTGGAGGGGCCATGCGCCATGGAGGTGGGGGAACTAACGCAGCTGGGTGTCCATGTGCAGTACAGTCAGCTTACTGAGAAAGCAGGAAAGGGAAAGAGGCAGCGTTATGAAGTCTGCTAAGCTCATATCCTACATGAGTACCCTGATATGCAACTGTTTGGTTTCACTGTAAAATACCACCTCAGTTTTTACTGTCACCTCTTGAGACTAACAGAATAGAATACTATTGGGAGGTAGAAGAAACATTACATATACATGTAGGTTTCCTTTTTTAATTACGATTGTTGTTTACATTGAATATTTATAAAAGGCAACACACCTATCTATTTTTTTTAATAGGTTATAAATGTCAAAAAGAATGTTCCTTTGTGGCAAAAACATGGACAGAGCTTCTGAAGCATGTGAGAGAAACCCATAAAGGTAAGGCAGCCTGTCTGGTGTGGCTCAGCAGTTGAGCATCAACCTATGAACCAGGAGGTCACTGGTTCGATTCCCGGTCAGGGCATATGCTTGGGTTGCAAAGCAAGCTCAATCCCCAATACAGGGCATGCAGAAGGCAGCTGATTGATAGTTTTCTCTCATTGATGTTTCTATGTCTTTTTCCCTCTTCCTTCCTCTCTCTAAAAATCAATAAAGGAAAAATAAAAGGGGTAAGATACACATGATGTAATCATTTACCCCCTAGAACTGGTTTAGTGCTTTTAAAGAGAAATATAAATATGCACTTAAAAATAAATGTTTTGTGAGGAGCTATGCTCTTCAACTGTTTGATAAATGAGAATAGAGACCTATGGTTCCAGGTCTATTCTGGGTCTCTTTGAGCTACTCTGCATCCTTAGCATTTTATTTTATTTAATATATATATATATATATATATATATATATATATATATATATATATATATATAATTGAATTTTTACAGAGAGGAAGAGAGAGGGATAGAAAGCTAGAAACATTGATGAGAGAGAAACATTGATCAGCTGCCTCCTGCACACCCCCTACTGGGGATGTGCCCGCAACCAAAGTACATGTCCTTGACCGGAATCGAACCTGGGACCTTTCAGTCCGCAGGCTGACACTCTTATCCACTAAACCAAACCGGTTTCGGCCATCCTTAGCAGTTTAAAGGCTATGGCAAGTAAAGAATCTGGGGAGGTACTGTTCTGGGACAGTTTGGGGAAGAATGCCCTGTGTACTGAGGACAAGGAAGGAAACTGGTCTATTTAATTTTCTCCCTTTGCCCATAGCTACCTTGCTGAGACCCCTGCTCCTTGGCAAGAGTGACTTTATGGCCCCAACTAGTTTGATTCAGTGGATAGAGCATTGGCCTGCAGAGTGAAGGTCCCAGGTTCGATTCCTGTCAAGGGCATGTACTTGGTTGTGGGCACATTCCCACTAGAGGGTGAGCAGGAGGCAGCTGATCGATGTTTCTCTCTCATCGATGTTTCTAACTATCTCTCTCCCTTCCTCTCTGTAAAAAATCAATAAAATAAAAAGAGTGACTTTATGTAATATAAGAACTTGGGAGATTTGAGATAAATATTCAAGCAATAAAAACTGGAGTTAGGCCGGGACCGGTTTGGCTCAATGGATAGAGCGTCGGCTTGGGGACTGAAGGGTCCCGGGTTCGACTCCGGTCAAGGGCATGTGCCTTGGTTGCGGGCACATCCCCAGTAGGGGGTGTGCAAGAGGCAGCTGATCGATGACTCTCTCTCATTGATGTTTCTAACTTTCTCTCTCTCTCTCTTCCTTCCTCTCTGTATAAAATCAATAAAATATATTTAAACAAAAAACAAAAAAAACTGGAGTTAGTTTCCTCTGAAATTTCTGACTTATGTGAGGTCATAAGGTTTTAGGTATTGAATATGTTATATAATTAGATATTAATGTTTTCTGTGTGATAATACCTGGGAAAATTGATTAAAATTTTTTGTCTATTCGCCAGAGAAAATAATATGTGAAGTATGCCAGAAAACATTTAAACGCAAAGATTATCTGAAGCAACATATGAAAACGCATAACCCAGAAAGGGATGTGTGTCGATGTCCAAGGGAAGGCTGTGGTAGAACCTACACAACTGTGTTCAATCTCCAGAGCCATATTCTCTCTTTCCATGAGGAAAGGCGTCCGTTTGTGTGTGAACACGCTGGCTGTGGCAAAACTTTTGCCATGAAAGTAAGTACTTACCCTCACAGGTGCAGTCCTTCCAGGGCGAGGCTTCTTCCGGGTTCTTAGGAGCCCTGGGTTTCAGGATGGTACCCCAGGGCCTGCAGTGGGAAGGCGGGTGAAGAGGGCTCCAAGACCTTCCGCTCTTAACTGGAGTGGCTCTGAGGTAAAGCCTGCCGTACAGCAGATCTGCCTGTGCCAAGTGGTTCTCAGAGTGTGGCCCTGGCCTAGGAGTACTACTGTCACCTGGAAACTTGCAAAAAATGCCTATCCCCTGCCCTACTCCAGACCTTCCGACTCAGAAACTTGGGGGTCAGGAGCCCAGGAATGCTTTTTTTTTTTTCAATATATTTTTATTGATTTTGTACAGAGAGGAAGGGAGAGAGACAGAGAGTTATAATAGAAATATCGATGAGAGAGAGTCATCAATCAGCTGCCTCTTGCACATCCCCCACCGGGGATATGCCCGCAACCGAGGTACATGCCCCCGACCGGAATCAAACCCGGGACCCCTAAGTCCCCAGGCCGACGCTTCATCCATTGAGCCAAACCGGTCTCGGTAGGAGCCCAGGAATGCTTTTTAACAAACCCTGTAGGTCAGCAGTCGCCAACCGATGTGGTGGTCCGTGAGGTCTGAAGGATTGGCAACCGCTGATCTAGGTGACTCGTGTGGGCTGTATTTGAGAACCAGTGGCTTATGGTACCAAATGCTTATTCAAGAGTATGCTGGTATCTTAGGCTGCTATCACCTAGTAGCCACCTTTTTAGACCACAGTCATGTAGGGATTGAGAAGGGAAGTGTGCAAAAGGATGTGAGGAGCTATAGAACTTGGGAATCTACCCAGTGTTTACCTTGGTATGATCCTATAGGTTGGGAACATGACACGAAGTGGAGGGGCACAATTGTGCGGCTTTACAGATTCCAACTCTGGTTGGTGCACTTACAAGCACTTAAACTGTGAATTACAATGAAGACTGAAGCGAGAAATGAGGCTGGTTCAGCATAGGTCTGAACCATTAGAACACAACTTGGAGCTGCTGGTGGTTGGCAATATCACCAAAAACAGCAAGACTTTGGCCATATGTGCCACTGGTTTGGGGATGCTGTGGACATGGCTTCAGTGAAATGAACCTCCTTTAGTTTGGAATAGTTCATTCAGAACTAGTTTTCCCCAACCTCTTACTCACGGAGAGCTAAGTAGCCACAGGAGATCAAGATTACAAATTCCTGACCCGAGTTGTTGGAAGAGGCAGTGATCTCACTCTAGGATTTGAGGAAGAATCCGCTCGTGGAATCCTTGTAGGTAGAGGCCACACGCCTCACAGAAAGAAGGCTGTTTGTTTAAATAATTCATGGAGTTTTCATGTTAAGGTACCAAATGACAATGTTTTAAAAACAGAACCTTTTCTTTCTTTCACTGCAGCAGAGTCTCAGTAGGCACGCCGTTGTGCACGACCCCAACAGAAAGAAAATGGAGCCCAAAGTAAGTTGGGAGCCACAGACAAGCTGTTTTTAAAACATGAATTGCTGATTAAAGTCAGATGCAATCTATTTAGGACATTTTTGACTCTTATTACTGAGTCTGCATCACAATTGAAAGTAATTGGATGTATTTATTTTCTTATAAAGGAGGGTTGTGTACCTATCAGGGTGTACAACTATTGTAAAATTAGTTCAGGTAATTTTTATTTTGAATTCTAATTATTTTCCTTTTTCCAAAGGTAAAACAAGCTTGTAGAAAACGGAGTTTGTCTTCCCGTCTCAGTGGATACATTCCTCCTAAAGGGAAACAAGCACACGGCTTATCTTTGCCTAAAACTGGAGAGCTGCTGAACTGCACTGAGGACAGAGTGCTCTCGACAGTGGCAGTACTTACTCTCAGCTAACCATCCAATTGTTTTCCACAGACCAGCCAGCTCAGTTACAGGCAGACCTGATTGGTGGTTCCAGACCACTGCACTAAAACAGGAGTGCACTAAAGCAAGTTGAAATGCTTTTGCTTGTGGAGGAGGGTCTTGCCTTTGATTTTTTTTGGGGAAATGCAACATCTGTAAAACACCGTAAAGTGAAGCACAATAAAATGAGGTATTCTTGTATTTTCTCTCAGAACCACATTTTTCTTTAATCACTGATGCAGAATATCTGATTTTTTGTCGTTTTCATTTTTTTTGTTTAAAGGGTTTCCTTCCTGGGTCTCTTGAGTTTGTCTGTATGCAATCTCTTCCTTTTCGCTCAAATGACGAAGAACACATTTTACAGCTTTTCCTCCTTGAACAGGTTGTGGCCTGGATGAGAAGGTAGCTATTCCAGGCATAGTCTGGAGGATTTGATTAAACAGCTCCTCCTAAGAAGGAAAAACAGCCAAAGATTAGCTTAAAACCAGTGTTTTGATTCTCTAATACCCAATTCTTGAATTGCTATTTAGTGGATTAGCTAAATCATGTCCAGTTAAGCTGATTGAAACCTGTACAGTAACCAGGAAGTTCTACAAACTCCAGGTAACTAGACTAAGTCACTAAAAAAAATCCCTACTTTGTCACTGCTCTGGGGTGTTTGGCCCCAAACTCTCTCTGCTTGCAAAAACAAGTATAAAGCATTAGGTTTGGGTATTGGCAGAGTACCAACCTATCCGCATATTGTTATCCCAGTGCAGTTTCCAGCACTCACTGTCACTTGGGGTATTAGAAAAATACACTGGTTCTAGAGATTCTGGGTCAGTTAGGGCCTTGCTTAAGTGATTCTAATGTGGAACTAGGGTTGACCACCACTGGGCTGATGTTGCTTTTTAGCTGATAAGTTAACTAACTCTAAAAGCGAAATAGAGCCCTAGCCAATTTAGCTTAGTGGCTAGAGCGTCGGCCTGTGGACCAAAGGGTCCTGGGTTTGACTCCAGGCTCGTGCAAGAGGCAACCAATTAATGTGTTTCTCTCACATTGATGTTTCTCTTCCACTTCTTTTAAAAAAATCAATGGAAAAACATCCTTGGGTGAGGATTAACTAAAAAATAAAGCAAAATAGTTATGCCATAAACTTACCCTGGGATTGTAAACAAATACACACTTTCTTGAAGACAATTTGCCTTTAAATATGATGCTTCTTATAGGCATTTATAAAGAGGAAACAGACTTTAAAAATGAATCTATCAAGGTTCTAGTTTTCTTATTAAATGTTAGAAATTCTACAATTTGTAAAATAGGGTAGTACAGCCTTTAAATTATGATGTAGAATGTTTTCACATGGCAAAATATTTATCCTACAATGGAAAATGTAACATATATACAGTATGCTTACATTTTGAAAAACAAATTGGAAAGCTATTATCACTAATGGAATGACTTACTTTGCTTTTACATTTAGATCAGCAAACAAAAAAACAGTTACTACTGTTTTTACTTACCGTTTTATTTTCTGGCTCTTCTGCATTCTTTGCTTTCTTTATAGTAACTTGAACTTTATACTTTTTCTCAATCCACTGCTGAATCTGTTTAGTCTTTGTGTCCAAATCATGTTGTCCGATATTTGAAGAAAAAATTAGTTCCTTTGTCAGAGTAGGTCCTAGTTTGAAACAGTGAGACTTGGTGCTGGGACTATTGACTACTTTGTTTATTAAACTAACCTCACCACTTCAGAAAATATACTTCAGAAAATCTTAGTTTACCATAGGGGCCCTAACAGTCCTCTCACCTGTTTAGTTTCACAGACCATTAAACACTTTTTTAAAAATAGGAGACAGACATACAGGTACCATTTTGTTTCTCCTGTCAAGGTCATTTAAATATAAAATGTATCCGCTTATTGTTGACATCATTTGATGAAAAGACACAAAAAGAATGGTCCTTCAAAGTTTAGTTTATAGTAAACTTGTTTTTCTTTTGGGTGTGGATCTGTCTGGGAAGTACTATTTTTATCTTATTCTTTGGTGATGCCCTCCTAGGTACAGTGGAGTCATCCAGACTGCACCCTGCATTTATTCATTCACTCTGCTTTGCATATCCCAATTATTAGAAAACTAGAGGCCCAGTGCACAAATTCATGCTCAGGTAGCGTCCCTAGGCCTGGCCAGCCATCAGGGCCCATGGGGCCTTCCAGCTGCCGCCCAGGGCCTCCCTTCCCCAGCAGCCAGCCAGGGCTGCCTTAGTTCCGCCCCACCCCCTGGTAGTCAGTGCACATCTTAGCGAGTGATCGAACTCCGGAGGGGACAATTTACATATAAGGCTGTTTTATATATATAGAGAGATTATTTTATTTTTATTTTAGGGAAGGAACAGACTACTCATTAAAGGCATTGTGACAATTGGGAGTTTTCAATTTGGAAGTTAGGTTTTAACCCATACAAAGATCTCCCCATATGTACTAAATGTGGGAGAAAAAAACACTTTAATACAAATAGAAGAAAAGAATGGGTATATTTATGACCTGGACAAAGGAAAAACAAAAGCGAAAAATCTAAGATAAAGCTTTTACTTCATACAGAACAGAGAATCCTACAAATCAGGAAGAAAAATAAATCATCAAAGTAAGAAAAAAGGAATATGAATAGGCAATTTGTAGAAGAGGAAACTCAAATGGTAAAAGGAACTACGAATTAAAACGATATGGTTTCTCACCCATTAGCATGACAAAAATTAGAGCCCACCAGTACCAAGTGTGGGTGAGAATGGAGAGAAATGTCCATATATTGCATGCTGATTTGCCCCATAGGAATTGAGCATGCACAAGGAGATACTGATACATGCATATACTTATTATAATAATGAAAACTAGAAACAAGCCCAGTGGCCAAGAAAATGGATTAACAAAGCTATAGTACATGTTCATAATGAAAAGTCACTTGGTAATTATAGTTAGCTACAGCTAATATATAAACATCTTGAAAACTACAGTGTGCCCTTTATAATTTTATGCATACAAAATGATTCTATATACTGTTTGTGACTGTCTGTAATGAGCTTAACAACATGGCATGGATCTCCACCGAGTCCATGAGAGTGAGGGGAGCCTTTGGGGAAAAAGGGTGGAACAGGAGAAGGAAGCACAAAACTTTTAACTTTTCTGAAATTTTTGGTTTAAGAAATCTGAAGTATTACAATGTTAATGTTTGCTTATTTTGTGTGATAAGAGTTATTTTTCTGCTTCTAATTTCCAAAATAAGGGTAATTCTAAAAAAAGAGTTTTTATTAACACCATCTTGCTTCCTTAAAGCTACAATCGGGTGGTCATAGTTTCCTATCAGGATAAAGTCATGCCTTTGACAATCTCTGAACACAGAGAGGTGTCTTCTCCAGTCTGTCAAATTTTTTCCCCCATAGATGTAAATTGATGACATCCCCTAGTTGGCCTCTTCTGAGAAGTTTTGGTTTGCCAGTCAGCATCCTTGTTAAACACTGAGGATGGATTATGAGAATTCTCATGTTTTCTGTTCTAAGGTTTGTGGCCAATCATGAGAATTCTAGAAAAAGATTTTAGTTTGTAAGAACATGTAATAAACAACTTCAAAATGCAATGGATATTTAATTTTAAAGTGTGCCTTTAACATTTATGTAAAATGATTTTTGTATTCATTCATTAGAAACTTATCTGGCCACTGGGTACAGCTAGCAATAAAACTACTGGTCTGCAACGTGCTAAGTGTGGTGTTACAAACTGAGCCACAAATTACATGTGACATTCAAGACACACAACCTCACTGGAACTAGTCCTCTGACCCCCCCTCCAGTGCCTTTTCCACTGAACTATCTTTCATAATGATCAGTAATAATTAAAAACCATGAAAAACCAACATTTTCACTTATCCAATTAATGGCTTTTATAAGGTTTAAATGACAAATGCCTTGTAAGGTAATTGGCAAAATATGTAAAGGAGTGTTACTATCATAACAAAATTCTCAGGCATAGATGCTCTATAAATCACTTCTGAGTTTAAAAAGTGCCTCTGTGGAATTAGCCAAAAACTCCCATTTTGAGATATATATAGACATACATACATATATATATATATATAATTTTTTTAAAGGAGGGTAAATGAGTGGCTCAGGACAGGAATAGAAACTTGAATCCATCTCTTCTGAGTTTCATTATATTACACCCATCAGTTACTCTGCCTGCCTGGGCATTAGGAAACTAAACTATGGGAAAGTATTTCCTATTATTTTGGTGTTTACCTTGTTTTTCATGATTTTACATAAGTTTGAAAAAGGTGATGGACAAGGGTTCAAGGAAAATTAAAAAAGGAACAGAAACAAGGGATGAAAAAAGCATTGGAAACTGGTGAAACAGTGAATTTTCGTTTTTCAACCCACTGTCACAGGCATTCTACAAATGCCCAATTTAAACTGCTGATTTATAGGAATTCAAGGGGCAGAGAGCAAACTACCTACCAGTTTTAGGTCTAGCCTTTTCCCTCTCTCTCAGTCTCAGCCGCTCTGCGTGAATCTGTGAGCCTGTCATGAGCTGGTACTCGGGAGGGTCTGTGCTGGGCTTCCTTTTCACAAGTCGCAGGTCTCGCTCATCCATAAGTCGAATCACATCTGCTCGGTGCATGTTCCCCAAATCATTGCCCTTCTCATCAAATACATGAATGATTCGCTCACTAATTTTTCTTCCAATGTTACTAAAATCAGTTTCATTATTTTTTCTCTTTTTTCTTTCATGCTGGGAGTCTTCAACAGTACTAAAAGCTTTTGCATGAATTAGATAGGACAGTCTTGGGACAGAAGCAGAGAGGGGCAACTGTGCTAATGCCATCTTTTGCACGATGTATTTACCCAAACATCTTCTAAGACAGTTATTTTCAGTCTTTATGGTTTGTAACATTATTGACCTTAGAAAAGTAGCAGCCATCCTAAAAAGTAGGGAGAACAGTTGATTAAAATTAAATCATTTATTCTTGTGGTTTGATATGGGGTAGAAGGAGGGTGTGTGTGTGTGAGGCTGTGGAAACTATGTTATCTGTGAATGTTCTGGATCTGCGTATAGAAAATTTACACGAATAACATGGACCATCAGGTGAGCATGTTCACACTCATGGTAGTACTGTCCCCAGTATGTTATTGTTAGAATAAATCATGTTGCACAGTGCACTTTTCTTCACCAAACAGTATTTCATTTGATTCTATTTCCCATGGATCTTGTAGTGCCAACTTCAAAAGCAAAATCTGAAGGGTTTATCTGGGAGGTTGCAGCATATAAAATATTTGGTGATTCATAAACACCAAGTCATAACCATTTTTATTTATTTTTTAAAATATATATTTTTATTGATTTCAGAAAGGGAAAGGGTGAGATAGAAACATCAATGCTGAGAGAGAATCATTAATCAGCTGCCGCCCACACACCCAGTACTGGAGATGGAACCTATAACCTGAGCATGAGCCCTGACCAGGAATCGAACCGTCACTTCTTGGTTCATAGGTCAATGTTCAACACAGTCACAACAGCCAGGCCAATTCATAAACTTTTAATACATTTAACAATTTCTCAATATATTTGATGGAACACAAAATATAAGAGCACTATTATGGCAAAGTGGACTCTATGAGGAAAGCTGACCCACTGGAAGAACTGGTTGAGACTATCAGAAAGGAAATACCCTGATATTAATCAAAGTGCTGGTCTAAGTATCAAAGCCACTCACAAGACAAGTAAGACATTACTTCTGAAAGTTAAGCATCAGGCACACATGGTGATAGTGGTTTCATGGTTATAAGTGCTGCACAAATAAGTGGCATTTTGATTTTTTAGTTGCTCTTCTGCCACAGTAAATATCTCTCTTTTTCTACTTTTTACCTAATGTTAGGTAAAGATTAGAAGTGCAGGCTGAAGGAGGGATGAGAGGACCCATGGATCTTTTCATCTAAGGTTTGCTGAGAAACACCAGAGAATTAAGAACTAGGAAAGGTATGCCTTGTCAAAGATGAAAAAGGAAAGGATGAGGTGTCTTACATAGTGCTTCACAAAGAATGTTCCCAGGATACCCTGCACAATACTCACCTGAGCTGTTAAGACTGGAAATTCTCTGGTCCCTATCTTTGATCCCACCTGCCAACCCATTGTTCTTACCCACCAATACTTCTCATACCCCTTTTGACAAGTGGGGGGTGTGCAGGAGGCAGCTGATCAATGATTTTCTCTCATCACTAATGTTTCTCCTTCCCTCTCCCCCTCTGAAATTATATATATATATATCTATATATAGATATATATATATATCTATATATAGATATATATAGAGATGTATATATATAGATATAGATATAATTATTATTTCACACACATATATACAACATTACAATGTCTCCTGTGCTTACAACCCTCCATTTGCTCCCATCTCAGGGAAAAAGCCAAGCCTAGGTTGGAGTTTATGATGCCCCCCATAACGTTTATGATGCCTCCACCTCCTCTGCCCACAGTGCTGACCCCACTTCCTCCAGCTCACTCTGTTCCAACCTTGCTGGCCTCCTTGCTGTTCCTTGTAACACTAGACCTGCCCCTCTTCTGGGTCCTGGCACCCAAACACTCCCTTCAGACAGCTGCATGGCTCATTTATTTCAGATCTCTGTTCAAATGTTACCCCCAATGAGGCCTTCCCTGTTGACTCCTTATAAAATTGCACATCCCATCACTTTCAAACCCATTGGGAGAAAATCCATTGCCTGATATATATACACTGAGTGGCCAGATTATTATGACCACCCCATAGGACTTCGTTGGGCCACCTTTTGCCTTCAATACTACGGCAATTCTTCCTGGCATCGACTCCACAAGATGTTGAAAGGTGATGTGTGGAATCTGACACCATGCCTGTGAATAGCACTGTCCAGTTCTGTGAGATTTAACAGTTGTGGAACCAGATGCCTGAAGGTTCTTTTAACTTCGTCCCACAAATGCTCAATTGGATTGAGATCTGGTGATTGTGGGGGCCACCTAAACAAGGTCTCCCTCATGTTGTTGAAACCACTCCTGCACAATACAAGCACCGTGGCATGGCGCATTGTCTTGTTGGAAGAAACCATCTCCATTGGGATACGCCATCAACATGACAGGATGAACTTGATCAGCAATGATACTTAGGTATGTTGTGATACTCAGACGTTGTTCCACATAAATTAAAAGGACCAAATCATACCAGGAAAACATGCCCCAAACCATAACACTGCCCCCACCAGCTTGAAGGGTTGTACTCATGCATGTGGGATGCATGCTTTCATGCTGTTTCCTCGAAATTCTCACTCTGCCGTCTGCATGATGCAACTGGAAACGTGATTCATCGGACCACATGACTTTTTTCCAATGCTCGACTGTCCAATCCTTGTGCTCCTATGCGAATTGGAGACGTTTTATCTTGGTAACTGCAGACAGCAAAGGTGTTTGAACAGGCCTTCCATATCCCATACAATGCAGTATGGCTAATTTGCCTACAAACGTCAGATGATCATAAAAATCTCAGTGTATATTTATTAGAGGCCTGGTGCATGGATTCGTACATTTTGGGGTCCCTCAGCCTGGCCTACGCCCTCTTGCAATCTGGGACTCCTCAGGGATGTTGGAGAGCTGGTGTCAGCCTGACACCTGCAGGTCTAGGTACCCTACCCATGCATGAATTTTGTGCATTGGGCCTCTAGTGTTTAATAAAAAAAAGTCAGATATTTGTTGGTGGAGGAAGGTCTCAAACCAAAAAGCAGAAAAGTCTGATGAGACCAGAGAAGATATTCTTCCATTTTTTATCAGAAAAGTAGCAACAGCATGTCCCAAATTTCACTATGAGTTATGATAAAAGCTAATGTGCATTGTGAAATGAATCATCAACACATTAAGTGGAAAATATTATTTCAAAATGTATGATTTTTAAGAATAAGGAAGGAAATAAACTAGGCATAGAAAAAGATAAAATTTATAAAAATCCTGTAATTTGAGGTTGAAAATATAGTGATTTCCTCCTACTCTTCCTAAATAATTATTTCTCAGCATTTTTTATGAGAAAGTATTTTTATACTAGTAAATAAATTATACTTATTTATAAAATAAAGACTATTTCAGAAAAATGATGTAGAATATTTTAAGATTTAAAAACACTTTCCAGGAAGAGAAAAAGGTAAAGTGTAGAAGTACTATAACCTTGTTTTTTTAAAGTCCATTACCATTACTTAAATTTGTAAGTACTTCTTTTTAAAATCCTTTACCATTACTTAAATTTGTAAGTACTTCAAAAAAGTTTTAAAATTTTTTGACTTATACAGCAATTAAGTTTCAGTACTAGTTAATTTTTGACTTTAGATCAGCAAAGTTGAAGATGTACATTCCTTTAAAATAAGTTTTTAATAGAAAAAATATAAATACAAAGTAAAGAAAAATGTGTTATAAATTTGAACTGCAAATATCCACAGAAACTCAAATAATTACAAAAGCTCTTATAACGAAAATTTTTTTACAGAGAGGAAGGGAGAGGGATAGAGATTTAGAAACATCAATCAGCTGCTTTCTGCACTCCCCTAACTGGGGATGTGCCCACAACCAAGGTACATGCTCTTGACTGGAATCGAACCTGGGACCTTTCAGTCCACTGGCCGATGCTCTATCCACTGAGCCAAACCAGTTTACAAAAGCTCTTATTAGGAAAAGTTTGAAAGATTTACAGAAAGAATAATAAGACATAAGCACCCATCATTACTAGTATGTGGTCAAGCTTGTTTCATCTCTACCCTCAACTATTCCTGACCCCACCCATCCACGAACTATTTCAAAGTAAATCTTATCTCATCAGTACATACTAAGAGGTAAGGTCTTTTGTACTTTTTAAAATCACCACATTAACATTATCCCAACTGATGAACATCCCTTGATATCATTAGACATCCAGTTTTCAGATTTCCCTGATAGTATAATTCTGCTTGTATACATTTCATTTATAGTTTGGTAACATGAAGAGCCTCCCACTGGCCACATGTTTTGTAATTTAAACACTAATGACTAAAATTCATTTCAACAAATTAAATATGCAAAACCCTACTTTACAAAAATATCATTTGCCATAACTATGCCATAACTATTACCCTGACTTCTTACTTTGAAAATTGGTAAAGATCTAAGCATGTATTCTACCTTTTAAAAAAATATATATATTTTATTGATTTTTTACAGAGAAGAAGAGAGAGGGACAGAGAGTCAGAAACATTGATGAGAGAGAGTCATCGATCAGCTGCCTCTTGCACAGCCCTTATTGGGGATGTGCCCGCAACCAAGGTACATGCCTTTGACTGGAATCGAATCCGGGACCTTTCAGTCCAGAGGCCAACGCTCTATCCACTGAGCCAAACCGGTCTCGGTGTGTATTCTACCTTTTTATGAAAAAACTAGAAATATCTCTAGCTAATGAAGAGAAGCTCTTCTTCAGAAGAGAATGTCAGCTAATAAATGGAGAAGTAAAAATAATCTGAAAACCACCATTTTGTCATTGCCAATCAAATCTCTGATTCAGAGAAGGATGGATACAAAAATCATCAGGTAACAAGCTGGTGAGGAAATAAGGTATACAAGTAGTGCCAAAGGATGTCCCTAAGATGACTTCTAAGTTGAAATGGGAAAAACACACTCTGGTTGTCACCCTGATAACCAAAGGTCACACTCGGCAGTGGAACAACCTGATATCCGAGCACACAGCTCCAGGTGTGACTTGGCTCCTATAGGCGCCCTCTGTGAATCAGTCCTGCCAAAGGTTAACCTGAACCCAGCCCAACCTCCAGACTTAGTTTTCAGTTTCCAAGGAATCCCAGGGCCACACTCAGAGCAGAACAAATTAGACCACAGGAAGCAATCAGACAAATCCAGAGTGTGAGGCGTGACAG